TCCATTCTGCTTAAATGACTCTTTTGAGTAACCATTTCCTTATTGCCTTCCAGCGCCTAACAGATATGATTGTTGTGAGATACAGCTGTTGCCCACCAGGTATCATCATGTTCCCAGTTTTGTTGTTTGCAATCATTGGACCCTGTCATCCCCCACTGTGTTTGTAGCCAGTGCTTGTTCCCCCCAACACTTGTTTTCCAACTATCCTCTGCAGTCTGGAAACTGGGTGACTCAAGATTGAGTCACCCAATTGCCAGTCACAACTGTGGTCTTTGATTCTCCATAATTAGTTGACCTCTTCTTTGCTTGTATGAAATGTGCATTGCTGGTATTTCCCTTTTCTATTATTGGCTGGGTTTAATGAATGAGAATTGGCTGAAAAATCCTTAAGTAAGGCTTTGAGGTTATAGTTTAGACCGACACTCTGGTGCGATGCTGGGGGAAGTGCTGCATTGTTTGGAGGTGCCGACCTTCAGATGCATCGGTAAAGCCACGTCTGTCTACCTATTCAGGACGCAACCCGACGTGAAGCGTGCTATATAATAACAACACCAACAAAATGACATTTATATAGCAATGTTCACATCGAGAGGACGTCTCAAGGCGCTGGACAATCAGTGTTTTGGACCCGATTTAGGGGTCGGGATTGGGGAGGGTGTTGAGCAGTGGGGGAAGAAGGGTGATCAAAGGCACGGTCGAAGAGGAGGGTCTTGAGACAGTTCTTGAAGGAGGAAAGGGAGGGAACTAGGCGGAGGGACTGCGGGATGGAGTTCGAGAGGGTGGGGGCAGAGTGGCTGAAGGCCCACCCACCAATGGTGAGGCAGGGGACGTGAAATGCAAGTTATTGTTGTTGGGTGTTAAAAGATCCCATGCCACTATTCGAAATGTGAAATGAGTTTCTCCAAGTGTCCTATCCAAAGATTTCCCGGATACATTGGTTATTCACTTCAAGTCTGTTTGTGGGACATTGCTCTGCGTAAATTGGCTGCCACATTGCACAGCAGTTAGTTGCAAAGTGTTTTCAGGTGTTTCAATGTCGGAGATCCCTTATCAAATGCAAAATTATTATTAAATGTGAACTCCTGAGCTTTTCTGGGTTTGATCTATGAGCAGAGAATGGAGGGCATATTTTCCCTGGAATGGAGAAGGTCTTGGAGGAGACCTGATAGAGGTCTTTAAAATTAGGCAGAATTGTGATGAGGAGAAATTAGTTCCATTGGTCTTGAGTCAGTGACTAGAGGGAATCAATTTTCACAAAGAAAGTGAAGTTTGCAGCATTTTCTGCACATAACACGTGTGTGCACAACACTCGAGAGGTGACATCACCAGCAAACTGGATGTTGACTTTTTATTGCATAAACCTGGCTAGTCACTGCAACAGCCCACAGTAGACTTGTGCTCCAATACAAGTAGAGTCGGTGCTTAACTTCCAAAGGAGAGGGAGGAGGGAGTTGTAATAACAAGGTCCCTTGTAGTCAGCACATCGGGTTAATGATTTTAAACTAGTCATTGGCTCTCATATCGTGTGAGTGCTCGTGGCTGTGTTTACTTATTACACCGCTGACTGATGCTCTCCAAAGCAGTTCCATCTGGTGCAGTTTGGCCTTGCGTTGCCTGTCTTCTCGAGTTACTTGGTTGGACATTGTCACTCGAGGGTGACTCAGTTGGATTGCAGCAGTGATTACCAAAGGTGAGGAGTAACTGAAGGGTAATGTCTGTTTTTCTCCCAAGTTTGAGCAGTGAAAATATTAGTAAGAAATGTACCATAGCACCAGAATGCAAACAATTGTGTCGCTCTTCTAATCTTTGGTCACACAGTGTAGGATGTTGTATACAGTTTTCTTTTCATTTGCACGCTGTTCATTGCAGCAAAAACGTTTGGAAAGTACCCTCCTACCCAGTAGTTTGGGATTAAGAACATCTGGCTTCTTTCCCATTTTCCATTATTTATGCCAGACCTTTTGGGAAACCATACACCAGTAAAAGGTCACTAAGCATTTCTGGCCGTTCCGGAATACATTGTCTGTCATTATTGCAGCTTTGAAGTCTGCAGAGCTACGACCATTCGAAGTCTGCCCGACTTGAGTGCAACAAAATGCAAGAACATTTAGATAAAAGTGCTATTGGGTGGAAAATACAGAATCATAGTCCTTGTGGTTTGGGATTTTCCCTTTTATTGAACCTCCTTTCATGTTGTTGTGGAAAACATCATGGTACTACTTCATAAATGAGGGTAGTCGAATCTGAAACTATATTTTCTGTAATAACCCAGATATTGACTCAGCAGAAAGAAACTGACGCTTCAGATGAATATTGTGCATTATACTTCAGGTCACTTTGAAATAGCTCCGGAAGGTCATTTCCTCCTAGTTTAATCAGGAATCAGCAATAAGGTTAAACATAATAATGTCTAAAAGACACTATGAGCAGCATACCACAGGATAAATCACCAACCACATAATCAGCCAGGTATTCGGTTATTGGGGAACATTGCAGCCAAGCCCAGGCTTGTCCTCATTCAACTTTCGCACGTGTACTGAGCTCCAAACCATTTCTTTGTTTTTTTATCACTCTGTCTATTATTAAGAAATGAGTTCCACAATACGGCAAATGAGTGATGTCTATAGTGGTCAAAGGTATGATTTTAATGGCATACTGTTTAAAACTTTCAATGAACTATACGTTTAGAAAACAACAAATGAGGTGGGAGGTTGAATATAAAATTCTCTGCTGCAAAGAATTCATAATTTCTTTTAAAAAGGAATTGTACATATTCCTGAGTGGGGGGTGGAATAATTAAAGGGTAATGGGAGTGAGCAGGAAAGTGGCAATACATCATGTATCCTCCTGTGGAGAAAAACACCAGTGAAAACTCGATGGGGTGATTGGCCTACTTCTGTGCTGCAATGTTCCCTGAGCATTCAAGTACATGGGCTGCAATCAGAACACAATGAAAGCTCAATTAAACAGGTTTTAAAATGTTTATTTTACTATATTTAGATCGAGAAAAAATCACCCTTATTCCTGTTTTCTTTTTAACTCTCAAACGATTACAATTGAAATAATACCATCAAAACAAATATTGTAATAACAAAATGCAATTTATGTTAAGAATACCATTGGTTGTTTTACTTTTGGATGGGGCAAGGGGAAAGTGGAAGGGGGAAGCTTGGAATCTGTCCGATTTCAGATTAAAACCCTCTTCCGAATACACAAAAAGAATTCATCTGTAGCTAGGTGAGGGAAAGCAGGCTGGTAATTCCGAAATCTGTGGAAAGTCTTTCGGTCTCTCAAGGGTTCATTTCTTCGGATGATTTTTTGAAGCAGCAAATGAGTCATCGAACCGTCCAAAGTAAACAAAACATTGAATTCTTGAACAGGTTGGAATTCTTGTTAAAATTCCCCCCCTGAACTATTGCGTGCTGGCTCTTTGCCAGTGCCATAGTTTTAATGCATCTCAGTTTCAATTTGCGTTGCTCTGGTGAGCCATCTGTTCCTGGGAAAACCTCTGCGAACTTAATGGTGAAATTGTGTAGAGCACGAGGGCAACTGCTGTACATAGCAAATTGTCATACTGGTTACGATAATGAAACCAACTAGTCAATGGTTCTCAGATCAAACCTGTCTTCAGTTCTGCCTACTGAATTGATGAAACTATATGATCATTAAAAGTAAAGTGCAGCCCCATTATAACGTGTTTCACTATAAGCGCAAATTCACTTATAACGCGGTTGTACCGTGGACCCCATTAATTGGGCATGCACACACGATAGCAAGAGAACAGGGAACTTATGGTGTCAGCGAAAGGTTGTTCACATTAAAACAGCGAGTGATACATTCATCAGCTTCCCTTCTTTCGATGGTGATATATCAGTTTTATTATTATTGCTTGGAGCAGGGGACAGAATGTGCTGATGCATCTTTATCTTGTACACAAGGCATGTTTGCAAAACTTCACCAAACTGATGTAATTTGGGATGGTTATTTGGAAATCTAGTGGATGGTTTTTAAATGTTCTGTTTTCTAAAACTGCTAAACCCAGGAATGCGAACAAGTTTTGCAGAGATGATTGCTTACACAAAGGAGCAAAGAAGTATGTTTCCTGGTTCTTATAATGCTTTTAGAAAAATGTCAGTCCAGATTTGGAACGTAGAGCTTCTAATTTTATTAAGCGGTCCAGAACACTACCCCGTGTGAAGGGCACTCAACAAATGCAAGTTGTTGTTATTTTATTTCTGCATCTATTTTTGCCTTAAGATTTCACTTATTTTAACTTCACAGTAGCAGCTTCCGCCAGTCAGCTGAGGTACGTGAGCTCATGGTCTAGCCCGATAGTCTAGTTTAGTAAAGAGTGAAATGCTGTATTGCATTGTCGGCGATGCTGTCTTTTTGGGTAAGACATTAAACTAAGCTTCTGTTTGCCTGTTCAGATCGATGTTGAACAGCCCACGACCCCTATTTTCCCAGTGTCCTGACTAATCCTTCAGGCATTTCATTTTGTGTCTGCTTATGGAACCTTGCTGGCGTAAATAGCTGCTACGGTTGCCTACAAAAAAAATAAACAGTCACAGCATGTGACAGTAATTATTTGTGAACATTTTGAGACGTTTCAACATGATCTGAAATGTAAACGTTTCCAAAGTATTGGCTCCCGAGGAACAATTGTAAATTTTCTTCTTGAGACAACTTAGAAGTGCTATCAGTTCGCCCTCTATTTAGTGTTCTTGTGAGTGCTGCACTAAAAATGGTTCCCAGTGTGCCAAGCCCAACAATAAACACACCCTGTTCGTCATTGCAACTTCAGATGCTTTCAGTTTGCCTACAAATACGGGGTCATGACAATTTACACCGAGACCCTGTGAAGCGTTTGGATAAATTTTCACGATGTAGTGAGTAGCTATGTCGAACGCAAGGATCATTCCTATTACCATTGTTCTGATTTTCTTAAATAAATAGTTTTGGTATTCAGGTCGTTAAAGTGAAACCTGTTTCTATTGCAGGTGTAGTCACTCGGCTGTGCTTCGATCCCGAGAGATGGCTGCACGTGCCCTCGTTCCTTTCGTGACGGTGGATCAGGTTCTTCCCACAGTCCGCTCTTTGATGGAAGCACTACCTGGTCTCACAGAAGCTTGCGTACGTCAGAATCATGTTCATGGGACGCTGCTGCAGGTGGGTTTCGAGGATTAATACTGGAGACAACAAGGAAGATTTCTTCATATTGTTTTCTCTCCTCCACCCCCCCAAATCTGTTTCCATGATAACCTATTGGGCAAAGGCACCTCCCTGGTGAAATGCTATACATACTGGATTGCAGGTTGTGTTTACAGTCTGCGCTGAGTTTGGTGGAACTCATCCTGGGCACGAGTTGGGACTTTACAGTTAGCATCATTACCCCTTGGTTGTGGAGGGGAAAACCAGCCAAGGTTTCTGTTCTGTTTGCTATCTAGAGACTCTTGCTGGAAGGTGTGTTTGTGTGGATGTCTGCGGTCCTTGACTGTAACTTCCCAGAATGTCCTGTTGCCTGTCGAGGCTCGCATGTGAGTCATGGCCACTTGGGTGCATTGTGAAAGCATTCTCCTGAGAGGAAGGGTTGAGGGCACAAAATTGGTGGGAAGAAATTTTTTTTTGTGTTTGTCTTTAAAACAACATACCACATGCAGTAACTCAGCTATAAATATAGACCCCCAGATATAAAATACCATTCATTTTTCTAGTGCCTCCAGCATAATTTCTATGAATTTCTAAGCAAGTGGCAATTTATTTTGTCAGGACGGTCAATATTTCCTGTGTTAATTACTTGCTAAGACAGCAGCAGCCAGAGGACCTTAGCAGCTATTTATTGTTGAAAAGATTCTGGACCAAGATAAAAATAGGTTATCAGCGTCAGACTTATTTTAGGAATGAATTTTGTTACCTTTAAATGAGCAAGTTTACAACATCATGTCTGTGCTTGGCATTTGCGATTCAAAGCGAACACATCTTGGTGGAAATTGCACGCAGAGTTATAATCCCAGCTCGTGCTTTGTAATTGGAAAATGATTGTGATGCATTACAGTATAATCGTATCTCGTGTCATCTAGCCTTTCAGGTTGTGATTAACCTTCAATTCCACCACACAGCACCAAGTTGAATATCATAAATGACATCCAAGGAATACGCAGCATTGGTTAGGTCTGGCTCAGTTGTGCCTCTTAATCAGAAGGTGATAGTTTCAAACCCCATGTCAGAACTTTGAGCTCATAATTGAGGCTGACACTCCAGTAAAATGTTCGGGGGCCTGTTGCAATGCCAGAGGTGCCATTAAACTGTGGTCCCGTCAACTTTTTCAGTGGACGTTAAAGATCCCATGGCACTATTTGAAAGGTGAAGGGAATTTCTCTTGGTGTCAGGGCCAACAGTCCCCCAGATAAAATTGGTCTTTCATTTCATGGGTGTTTGTGGGACATTGCTGTGTGCAAATAGCTACCACGTTCACCTACAAATACATGATTACCGCACTTTTTCAGTGAAATTCTGTGAAGTGCTTTGCGACGTTTCGATGATGTGATAAGGGGCTATATCAAATACAAGGATTATTACCACTTGCTCAGCCCTGCCATTGTGCAGGGTCTTTACAGAAGCATAGCTGTGGGATTTATCCAGTTCTATCAGTTAGATGTAAGATGGGACAAGGGACATAATAATAATTAATAAGAATTTAATTAATAATAAATAATCTAGCACCTTCGTTTGTCAGCGTCTCAAAGTAGTTCACAGGGCATGGACTATTATTATTGCCATCAAGTGTAGTGACTCTGTATTGGTAGGCAAATGTGGCAACCAGTTTGCATACAACCAGGTCTCACAAATAGCCATGAGGACAATGAACAATTTATCTGCAGGTTTGTTGGCCAGGACACTGGGGGACACTCCTTTTCAAATGGGATCTTTAAGATTCACTTGAATGGGAAAACACGGAACCTCTGTTTAATAATAATAATCCTTGCATTTGAAATAGCGCCTTATCATGTCGTTGAGACGTCTCAAAGCGCTTTACAGAATATACTGTGAAATTAATTGACTATTTTGTGAGTGAAACACGGCAGCCAATTGTGCACAGCAGTGTCCCACAAACAGTCATGGATTGAGTGAACAATTTTTTAAAAGTGATTATTACCCCTAGAAAAGCGATCCGCCAATCGACTAACAACCAGGTTCCAACTTACAGCTAGGTAAACCGAGACATGTGGAGCAAGGAAACTTGCCTTATGCTTCGCCCTGCCTGGGAATTAAACCCTTCGAAAGTGAGTGCTTTCACCACTAAGCTACAGGACTCCACATGTCTCATCCAAAGGACGGCACCACTGACAATGCAGCGTTCTTTCAGTTCTACACTCTAGATTGAGCTCAAGCCCTAAAATGGGGCTTTAGGGCAATTTGGAAAGGATTTTAAAAGTTAGAACAAAAATAAGAGTAACAATTGGGAATTAAAGTTAGAAAAACCTTACAACAACAACAGGATTACATTTGTATAGCGCCTTTCACGTCAGGAGGACGTCCCAAGGCGCTGAACTTATCCACAAGATACAAATCCATGGTATTGGACTCAGTGGTTTCTTGTAAAAACGTTTTTTGTTGGTCTTAACTAAATCCTTCGCAGTATTGCCAAAGAGGGGGGGGGGGGGGGGAAATCATCTGCGCTTAAAAGCTTCAATAGTATCTTGGCTTGTTTCCAAATAAAACCACCAAAAAACATTAGTAACATACAAACCAAAAGTGACCACAGATTTCCTAACTTTGTTTTGTTGATCGCTGCTGCGCATAGCCGGGATGGAGGAAACTGTCAAGGCCAGCAGCCTGACTGACTGCCATTAGTGATGCTCCATGTTCTATCAACAGAGGAGTTTGTTCATCTTGTCTTTTCTGGCCATACGACTGCTGTTCAATTTGGTGATCCCACTGAACAGTGTTTATTCCCAGCCAATCATGAGCTCTGAAACCAGCGTCTGTGGTAATAACGAGAGGAGGAAGGGAACTGTTGCTTTCTTGCTTCCATCATATAGCAGGTTAGCCTTGAAGTCCTCCCAAGTTATTTGAAACATCTGGATTTAGCAAAACACTCATTTCATGTAAATAAAAATAACGTAAACAGCTGTCTATCTGGGAGTCCACATGTAGAGGAACATTATGCGCTGAACTGAAATTAATAGTTGATTTTCTTTTTTTTAAAAAAGCTTGAGTTCATATACTATGTGGCAATTGAGTTCACACAAGCACCCTCAGTGGCCCAGTGGTAAAAGCAGTGCAGTGCTGAGCCATATATATCAGAAACTTGAAGGTTCGAATCTGTGTTGACCGTGTTAGAAATTGGGACGCTGCAATTGTTTTTAGGTTGGTGGGGGGGTTAGTCAGGGATACCACTCCTCAACGCTACCCACAAAACCCTTTTAGATTGTAGAGTGACTACAGGATCGAGCTCAGCTGCCCCCTTACAGGTGAATAGCCGCCTCATTGTCTAGGCTCGCACATGAATAATGTGCGATGTACTGGAGGACACCCAGTGCCTGCAGAACTGTAGAACCATAAAACCAACAACAACAACAACAAGATTCCATTTATTGAGCGCCTTTCACGTCGGGAGGACGTCCCAAGGCACTGTACAGTTGGGTTAGGACCCGAGCAAGGGGGAAATGGTCAGGGTGAGGGGAGGGAAGGGAGGGAGCGAGGAGGGGGTAGAGAGTCGAGAGGGGAGCTGAAGGCACGGTCAAAGAGAAAGGCCTTGAGACCGGCCTTGAAGGAGGAAAGGGGGGAGAGAGGCGAAGGCACTGGGGGATGAGGTTCCAGAGTCTCGGGGCTGAGAGGCTGAAGGCCCGGCCACCGATGGTAGGGCGGTTGGGGCGGGGGATGTGGAGCAGACCGGAGCCAGAGGAACGGAGGGTACGGGCAGGTAGGTAGGGGGATAGTAGGTCGGAGAGGTAGGAGGGAGCGAGGCCGTGAATGGCCTTGTAGGTGAGGATGAGGATCTTGAATTCGATCCTCTGGGGGATGGGGAGCCAGTGGAGGCGAGCGAGGGTGGGAGTGATGTGGTCCGAAGCCTGGTGCGGGACAGTACACGAGCTGCAGAGTTCTGAATGACCTGCAGCTTGTGGAGGGAGGTGCCGGGAAGGCCGGCGAGGAGAGAGTTCCCATAGTCCAGCCTTGAGGTGATAAAGGCGTGGACCAGAGTTTCAGCAGCGTGAGGGGTGAGGTAGTGCCGTAGTCTGGCGATGTTTCGGAGGTGATGGAAGGCGGTGCCAGTTGTGGTGCGGATATGAGGGAGAAAGGACAGCTCAGGGTCGAACAGAACCCGAGGTTCCTGACTGGCTTTGAGAGGTGGAGAGTGCAGCCTTGGATGCTGATGCTGTCAGCGCCTGAGGTGCGGAGGCGCTGACGCGAGCCAATCAGGAGGGCCTCAGTTTTGCGCACGTTGAGCTGAAGAAAGTTGTCTCTCGTCCAGGACTCGATGTCGGACAGGCAGCTGTCAGGACATCGGTGGTCGTGGAGTTGAGGGTAGAGGAGGAAAGGTAGAGTTGGGTGTCATCCGCATACATGTGGAAGTTAACCCCATGTCTGCGGATGATGTCACCGAGGGGGAGCATATAGAGGGTGAAGAGGAGGGGACCGAGGACAGAGCCCTGAGGGACACCGCACAAGACAGTGCGGGGGCCGGAGGAAAAGCCGTTTGTGGAAACAAAATGAAGATGGTGGGAGAGGTACGACCTAAACCACTCAAGGACAGGGCCTTGAAGGTTGAGGTGGGAGGACAAGCGGTGGAGGAGGATAGTGTGGTCGACCGTATCGAATGCTGCCGATAGGTCGAGGAGGACGAGGAGGCAGAGGGAGCCCTGGTCGCAGATGGTCAAGATGTCATTGGTGACCTTGACCAGGGCAGTTTCTGTGCTATGGGCAGCACGGAAACCCGACTGAAGGGGTTCGAATAATGAATGGGTGGAGAGGAAAGAGCGCAGCTGGGAGGCGACAACTCTTTCAAGGACCTTGGACAGGAAGGCGAGGTTGGAGATGGGCCGGTAGCTTGATAGCTGCGACGCATCAAGGGAGGGTTTTTTCAAAGTGGGAGTGATGATGGCAGTTTTTAAGGGAATGGGAACAGAGCCAGAGGAGAGGGACAGGTTGATGATGTCTGTGATAAG